CTGCCACAGGACAGGGAATTTTCTTCCAGTATATACATCTGCAAGCCAGTCACATATGAAAACAATAACCAAGGAATAAGAAAAAGTCAATAAGGAGATTTATATACAGCTGCTATTAAACTGGAGGAAAACAAATGATCTGTTGGGGTCAGTTTCTCTGGGAAATCAATTTGAGCAAAGTTTTATTGTCCTCTCTGCTAGATCCTTCATGTTATTTGCTTGCACCTTTAATAGTCGTGAGTGAGGAGGGTTTTACACTTGTGAGCCTAAGCTCTCTGGATCATGGCATTCGTTACCTTTTCAACATCCACATTCCCAGTTGTCACAAATGCTACCTAACAGCACTGAGCGCTCAAAGTACATTTCCCCTTGTAGCTCTAGGGAGTTTTGAATGTTCATATTAACTGCTTAAACTAGTCGTAAACCAGTTAGACTGTAGTACCGGAGCAATAGTAACCATCTGATGCATAAAAATGTCCCTGTATAGGTTGCATGTGACTACTGAGAATAAACACTTTCTTGCTGAAGAAAAAAATGACATAACCTGTCCATGCATGGCCACACAAGCCTGAAGTTAATTATAAAAGCAAAACAAACAACACAGTGAAGGAGTGCTAATACATAAATCATAACACCAATAAAAATGTAAATACATAGAGGCCTGTGATCAACAGGATTTATCCAACAGTCACTGAAATGTTGTTTATTCAACTCTTTAGTCTAAAAAAAAAAAGCATTCTCAAGTTTTGCTTTGAAACTGATGTTCTTTAACTGATAATTAATTCAACCTATGATAATTAATTCAACCTATCTTTGTATTGATGCTGATTCTTTAACATTTTTCTGACAAACTTCTGCTTATCTAAGAATGCTTTGTTATATGTCATTTATTGCTATCCTGTAGTAACAACCTTGATTTTATCAATGGGAGCAACAGCCATTTAGAAGATTTGTTCTAGCATTCTTGTTGCACAATGTTGTTATTTTTCACTTTTAAGAAAGAAAAATCCTGAAACTGTAATGAAAAATGGACAATTTACGTATGAAATACTTCTATTCCTTTCCACAACCTGATTTTGAATTCAGTCTCATCCTACTGTAGCTATTTAATGGTCTTAAGGAAACAAGAAACTCATCTCTATCTTCCTCATCCAAGAGACTAATATGCAGCACTGCTCTTGGTGATATCTCTGCTGTTTAATGTTTTATCATGTTAACTGCCTTCAACAGGAGTTTGTCTCTTTGCTACGACTTCAGTCTCTTCAGAGGAGGCAATGAAACACAGAGCCTTTCTGGTGAGAAGGGATGATGAGTTGTCTTACAATATGGAAATTAAGGCTGACCAGCTTTGGGCCTGAAATGGTTGTTTTGAGGTTATCAGAGCTTTCTGGGCTTGGTTGGACATAGTCCTTTTCTTCTTCAGTGGGTATATTCAAGAACACTTAAGGGGGGAAAGAAGAAAGATAAGTACATATCAAAAGACACTTAGAGCACAGTTTATATGAGTTTTTTTTTTGTTTTATAGCATTGTATTCTAGGGAGGCGTACAAAAAATGAAATTAATTCCATGGTCCAAATGTCAAGTTATTCTTTCTAAATGTACCCCAGACCTTAGCGTGAGGTGGCAAAGGCACTTGTGTTTTCACACAACTATACTGATGCAGAATAATACATTCTTAGAGGTTACCTTAACTTTAACCACACCTTAAATCCATTGATTACAGTAGATCGAAGCATAAACTTTAAATTGGTCTGAACAAGATGTTTACTCTTGTTAGGGTTGAAGGACTTATAACACTTTCAAACCTACCTATCCAACAGATATAGCAGAAAAACAAAAAATGTTTGCGTTGAGATTTAAAACTTGAATAGTTAGTTCAGACTCTTTCAGACAAGCAAAGGAAGCTTGAACCACGAACTGTGGTGGTAATTTTTGCTTTCTATTTTTACTTGGTCAAACCAGAGGGTAACTGGTATGTGTTCTTAGTCTTGTTTTAGTGGAGGAGACAGAGCTAGACCTATAACTGGCAAAGAAACAACAGAGTAAGTACAGACAGAGACACATGTTGTGCAAGGCAGCAGGCGCAGCAGAAGCCGGGTCACCTACATCTCAGCTTGCAGAAAAGACTGGTGTCAGGAAAGCCAGGCTAGCTGCTGGGAGAGGTCCCTGTGAGGGGGTCCTCTCCAAGGCTCTGCTTCTAGCGGCAGAGATGAGGGGGACACTCCAAAGTCAACTGTTGCAGATGAAATCCAATGGGAATACACAGAGGTGATGGGAACAGCAGGAAAATTAAATCCCCACCGAGATGTTGAGTCTTTATTTTCAAAATCATGTGTGCTTCAAAGTTAAAATGCTCAGATGCTGCATGAGGTGGTTAAACAAGATAACGAAAAGATAATATACAAAATGATTAAAAAATTAAAAATGAAATTACAAACGTCTTCCTCTCTGAATAGAAACAGTGTGGTGTATCCTCTGGAAGCAGATAGTGCACCACAGAATTATCTGGTAGAACCGTTCCTTTATGCACTGAAGGCTATGTAAAACTAGATAACTCCTGTCACAGTTATGATGATGATTTAAACAGATTTGTGTGTGTGTGTATATATATATATTTCATATATATGTGTGTTTATATACATAATTTCCATAGCTCAACAGTCCAGCAGCTGGTGGAGCACAGTGCTGTGCTGCAGAAACCAGGTCCGCTCTGTGTGTGGGACTGAAAGGCCCTGAAACTTTTTGTTCCCTGGGATCATCAGTCTCCCCTCCACCCGCCGTGCTCTGGGATGCTGTCTCTTTCAGACACTGTATATTGTGTGATTTCTAAGCAGCTTTGAGAACCCTAGGGATCAGAAGAGGTATATGAATGTTTTATAATGTTATTGATAACCACAGAGCAGACGCTTTTCTAGTAAGCCACTGTGAGATAAGTTACTGGTAGCATCTGCAAAGATGTGTGTAAATTAGCTTAAAATAATTAATGCTGTATTGGAAGAAAGCTTTTTTAAGGCACATCTGTATTGGCGCATATAAGATTATTTCAGCCTGCCCTGAGAGTGTGTTATAGCACAAATTACCATAATTTATTAGGGGAAGAGCCATTTCTGTTAATCATATATTAATTATTCATAAAATCTGTATTAATGTTACCTTAAAGGGAAGTGTTACCAGCTGGGTACTGGGCTTGGCACTCTATTCAAACACAGCAAAAGATAAGTAGTTTGACTACTTAGAGAAGCTATAAAAATGACTTACAGGAGCATAAAAGCAGCAGGCATGGGTCTATGAGTTAGCATAGAGCTGGCTAGGGCTGAGCAGTCCAGCCAGCCAGCTCGCTGCTTTGCGTTTTGGCTCCAGTGATGGTTTGTGCCCTAGCGAAATTTGAGTGGAATTGCTGATGGATGTTCATTACCAGCTAGTCCTGTATACCTTGCACTAGTGCCTTTTGGCTCTTCAGCCAGCATGGGTCTGGTGAGATTAAGTAAAATCAAGAGACTGTTTCCAATTGAACTTGAAAAATAAATAAATAATCTTCAATAATTTAAATTCAGGAGAAATTCCTTGTGTTTAGTGAGAAAGAAAAAAAAATGGATTTTTGCAACTTTTTAGTCTTGTCAGGAAGCTGTTGGGAGCCATGTGGTATGTAAAAATGCTGTCCAAAGGATGCATTTCAGCCCAGAACGGATGTGAAAGTGTGTATATAGATATGTTTTCTGTGGGCGGATGCAGCTTTCTTGATGCTCTACTCAGCTAAAGGAAGCTATTAGGTTATGATGCAAGACTAAGAGGTACATTTTAGAGGAAGTTAAGCAAAACCAAACACAGCATGAATTTGGGGGGATGAAAATCCAAACACACAGGGCACTGGCTAATGCATGCAAATGTGTAAAGCCTGTAAAGTGCAACCACTTTTATATGAACAGTAAAAACTTCATAGGATTCAGCTGAAATTAAATTGTTTAGATCAGCTATAGCCTTTTTATTAGGATAGCACAATGTGAACTTATAAACACATTTGTTTTACATGTTAAGATAAAAGACTGTTTATTGGTAAAAGATTTTTCTTTTTAAAGACAGTTGCAACCTTTAATGTGTGATCTGTAAGTTATCATCTGATGAATTTTGGCCAAAACCACGGACGAGAGGCATTTGGAGTAGGAAGCCAATCCGTAAGAAGTGGGGTAAATAAATAAATAAATAAAAACTTGCATAGCTCTCAAGGAGTCTAGGAAACCTAGGCCTAGTCTTGGAACAGCCCATAGAGCTGGGTGGTCTGAAGATGAACCCATGTTAAAGGATCTTAGGTAATTATCGTTTTTTTTTTCCTTAACATTGATGGTACTTCCAAGTTTCGGGTGGTGGGTGAGTCTGTAGCATGCAACCAATTGTCAAGCCTAACCATGGTTAATGCAGATCAGAAATGAGGTTTTTCTGCAGTTTAGGTATTTTTTTCTTCAGATTTCATTTTCAAAGCAGTGTGGTAAAGGAAAAGTGGTATATGGGAGCAATTTGTATCTGGAGAACTTAGCAAATAATGTTATAAAAGAGGCTCTATTCAGCAGGAAGCAGTTAGCGGTGGTGCATGGGGCATCCCAGCACCACTTTACACTTGCTTGTGAAAAGAGTATCAGAGTTCTGCAGAGTCTGGTGATGATAATACATCGGCATTATAACAAATAGGTAGTACTGTTGTTTTGTTCTCTTCTAGTCCATCAAATGTATTTCATTGCTTACACTGTAGTAGCAGATTGAAACCATCTGCTGTCTTGCCACTAGTCCGCCAGTCTAACAGAAAATCTCAGCTCATTTTCCTTGAGGCCGGCGTGCTGTAAGGCATGTGTACCAGGACGATAATCCAGCTGCTGAATGTTGATATAAGTCCAGACCTATGCTCATGAGTCTTTTAAATGGAAACAGTACTCTTTGCCAAGGATTGGAACGGAGATAAACTCGGTTTGCTTTTCTCTCCTCCTTGCTCCCCCCATCCCCTATACAGCTCCGTCCCCCATCACGGTAATAAGGAAGGACCGGACGTCCAGGAACAGCGTGTCTCTGTCTTGGCAGGAACCTGAGCATCCAAATGGGATCATCTTGGACTATGAGGTCAAATACTACGAAAAGGTGGGAAGAAACACTGACAGGGAGGTTCTTGTGCTAGTAATGTAGTTATTAAGTCTTGCTTAAGTCAAGGGTTCAGAGGCACCACTATTCACTCACTATTTGTCTCAGTAGTGATGAAACCCTTCCATTTTTGGGAAGCAGAACATCATGAAAATATGAAATGAAACCATTAAGTAGTGTTGTTTATGATGTTCATCCCTAAATGCATCAGAACAAATGTAGACTAATTCTGAAATGATGCAATACTTCTTTTTTTTTTTTTTGTCTTAAGTACACTTTATTTACTGAGTTCTATTATGCTGTCAATATTCATAGAGTAATTTGTCAGTACCCATGTGTTGGTGCTTTCACAAACGTCTGTTACACGAAGGCAATGTGGAAATGAAATGGACTATCCTTTTAGGGACTGCTTTGTGCTGTGAAAGTTCCCACTTTTCATAAATAACTGAATTTCTCGTAAATTATATGTAGATAACTGCAAACCAAAGAAAATATGCCATTAAGTATGCTCTGTACAAATGCTTTTTGTACTTACAGCTGTTTATTACTACCTCATATATAGATATGGATTTAGTAAAAAAAAAAAAAAAAAAAATCTGCATAAACAAATAGCTTTTTCTACAGCTTACTGGTAGAATTGGAAATACCATTAATTGTTACAAAGATTGTGAAGAATGGTACTGGCCATTTGTAGATTGATCAGATAGGACTTCTGACAGAATATATTGCTACTGAAATTGAGAAAACTTTGAAAAAATGGCAGAAATAATGTTTTAATATAGTATTTACTAATGCTGTTCATATCTAGAAATGAGGCTTAGTTTTCATGCATACGTGGAAAGTCTTGGTGCCAGTATCCACTTGGAAACTAGTGTTGAAAAGATTCCACAGCTATTCAGTTAGTCTTCAGAAAGTTTCTTCATGGAGCTTTCCAGTGGGACAATGGGGTATTGATAGTCCACACTTGTTCTTCAGCCAAAGAATGGGGATTGGAAGTCTGTATTCTTAAAAGATTTCTCCCAAATGATTGTGCCATCTGATTTTGGGGGTGTTTTGGTGGTGGTGGTGAGTTTTTTTTTGGTAAAATTCTAAACATATTTAGTATTACCAATAAAAGGATAAAAAGAAAGCTTCTTAAACATCTTCATTTAGTCTCACCTTAGAGAGCAGTAGCCTGTAAACATTCATTTTGGGATTATTTTTTTTCCTGTTAATTTCAGCGGGAACAAGAGTAAGCCCAGATCCTGGGCTTGAGGAGAAATAAAAGAGCACCAGCTCATACATCAGATTGTCTTTAATTGTACAGTACATGCTCAGCAGTAAAAACATGCAGGATTTTTTTTTTTTTTTAACAGGCCAGGTTATTTGCCTGTAGACTTAACTTGAATTTCATTTGAGCCTTTGGCTGCTCTTGCTGCCCTTGGCTGGCCCCTTGTTTCCCAAGAGCTTCCGCAGCCCCATCTCAGCTCCACCTCCAGCCTTTCCAAGTGCAAGTCCTGTCCTAGGAGGCTCTCTCAAGTCTTGTGGGGCAAGGGATCTGACACTCAGGTGTGTTGCTTGCCCTGGCATAAGGTTGACCTGTTTGGTGTTAGCTGCTCTGAAGGGAAAGAATTTTCTCCTTGTGAGCGCATAGTTCATTTTATTTGAACTACCACCAAGTTATATTTGTGTATCTGTGGGGTGTTTGTGGGGTTAGGTTTTTTTTGTGGTTGTTAGTTTAGTTTTGTTTTGTTTTGTGTGTGTGTTTTGATCATTCTGCACTGAAATTGGCTTGTTTTATTCAAGAAAATTGTCACCCTCCAGTACAAGGGTACTCACAGTGTAGGCATGTGGCTGCTATTCCCACTGTGTATATCCAGTCTTGTGGAGCAACTGCTTGTTGTAAGACAGCTTCATGAGACAACCAGCCTTATGAGGCTGATCATGCACATGTGTTTCTTCCCTTTGATGTCTGTGATCAAGCGTTCATACGCACCAGACAGCTTTCTTAAACCAAAGAGCCAATTGCTTAACAATAGGAGCCAGACCATTCAGAGCAAAGGGGCTTTAAAAAAACAACCTTCCAACACCAGTGCTTTTAATGTGTGGTCTGCAGCCCCTCTGGGAGTCAGAAGCCTATTCCTTGGGGTTTATGGAGTTAACAAAGAAAAGCAAGTCTGTAGTTAGGAGGCCTTAATCCATTGCCCTCTTTAAGTCTGCTAAATCAGAAAATGTTAAAAAACTACTGCTCTAGACAGGTTAAACTTGCCTAGAGCCAGGCCAACCAGTGCTGGGTGGTGACATTTCAGTTGTCCTTCGGGGAGATGTTGCTTTTCAGTCTGAGATCACCGAGCAGTCCCTTCCTCTTCTCTTCTGAAAAGGCTTGCTTTTTAAAATGGCCCAGTCCTTTTGAAGTCATCTTGGTTGTGCTCATCGAAAAACACTGCTGTTAAGTGGCAGCTGCTAGGATATAAACCCTTCACAGTTAGCAGTCTGGGTATTTCTGCTGACAACTCGTACATGATTGCTGATAGATGATTTATGTTGAGCCATTGTTTTCCCTCCTGCTTGGTTTTATTCACAACACCTCTCATAAATTAAAATATACAGTATTAATAGATTATTACAAGTCAGCCCAATTCCATCATGCACTTTGACCATGCAAATTTGTGTTTGACTTTGCTGGGTTGTTAATATATTTTGAAGAAAAAGTGATATTTTGGGGTAAGTAAATGTTACTGATTTTCAGTGTGTTACAATAGATTTGGATTAAAAAGTAGGGCTTTCTGTATCTAAAAAATGACATCTTTTAGTTTTTCTAATGCATTATTGGCATATAAAGTATGTGGAAAATTCTTGTTTTCAGAAAATGTAACTAAACTCTTCCATTTTTATCACCAGTGATTTCACTTGTGTACCCAAGAAAGAATAGAGCTCTGTATGATGTTTCTAGAGAAATTAGGATTGCAGTTCTGGGAAACTATATTAAAATGAACTTATGGGGTTTTATGCTTAACAGTATGAACGGAGAATGACAAGTTTTTATACTCAGTATTTGGAATAGAATTGCCTTTTCTGTGAAAACATATTCGGCCTGATTATGAGGTTATTTGACTAGATACTATTTATTTAAAGCATTTAAAAGAAATAAATTATTCTTTCAGGTATAAAAATGAATACCATATGAAACATCTAGTCATCTGCTTTATGGAAAGGCATAATATTTTATGGTATGTTAGTGGTACGAAATGACACCCTAGTTTAGTCTGTCCATATATAATGCTGTGCTGGATTTTAAGAGTGTCAGCCAACAAAGTGCTCATATAACAAAAATCAAGTTTTCTTCTTGCACAAGCAGATACTTTTTTTTTTCCTTTTGTCCTTGCTCACCTAATCAAGTTCTCTCAAAGGAGTATTTTATTATGCAAAGACAAAATATCCCATGAAAATTATTAATTGCTTCATTTAAATATGTGGGTAGTAATTGTGATAAATAAATCCCACAGTCTTTGTAAAGGTGAAGTTCTGTTCAAAACGATGAGTGAAATTTAACTGCAGTCTTAGATTGCTAAACTGGATTTGCCTTTGCTATCATTGAAATCAAGGCTCAGTAGACTGGTTAAAGCAAACAAATAAATAATTATATCCAGTTTGTGATCTTTCTGAGGCTGAAGGAGTAAATTAAGTGCAAATGCACTTAGGTGCTTTTAAACTCTTATTGTTAGGGCTTTAAGGGTAGGCCATGTATATACTCAGTGAGTTTAGTAGGAGCTGTCATATTGACAAACAGTTGTCGCCAGCAGTGCAAGGAGGCAGTGCTGGAAACAAAGGTTCCTCCCAAAGATGTGCAGCCTGGTTTTGGCCTCTCCTGTGTACATGCCGCCAAGAGAGAAAATGTTCTTCCTCATGTAGTGTAAACACTCACTGTACTTATCTGAAAAGAACATACCATTCACTCTTGCTAGTGCTGCCACTATAAATGCTAAATGGATCCAAAAAATGTCTTTTGTGAAGCATAGTTTATAATTATAAAATTTCATTTGCATATGAGACACTAACAGTAGTGGGATTTGCTTCCCAGTAAAGATTGTGTCTCATAAACTATGTAGAAATGATCAAGAAGAATATGCATTCTGCATCCAAGTTCAAATTTATCATCAAACAGAGTGTTTGATTAAAGTTCGGCTTGGCAAAGAGTGACTCTCCTCTTTGTATATCCCTTCTGCTTATGGCAGCTCTAGCACTGTATCTCTGAAGTTTTACTTCATCCCCAGGAAAGATAAACTTGGGCTTTTATGTGGTGTTTCAGTGATTTGATTACTATTAACATAAAAAATGACTTTCAAAATATGTGTGTAAAAAGCTTGCCATAAACTAAGATACCATGACATCCTCCATACCGTTGTTTTAAACATTTATTTTCTAAGTTCCATTGTGGATTATTAACAGACAGGGCCATGACTATATTTTCCTTTGCACGTATGTATCTGCACAAGAGGGAAATGTTTGCATTTCATAAAAACAGCCTGAAGTGAGATCAAAATGAATGTCCAGCCACAGCATACACAAAAGATCTTATGTTTTAAAGACAAGATTATTATGTCTTTGAAATTAAAGTCATTGCCTACATTCAACTGAATGACGAGATAAGAAAAGACTGTAAATTATAATACTAGGCCTTTGTTAGTTCAAAAATACATATTTTAGGCAAACCTGTTAGCTCTTTAGAATGTCTTCCTAGTTTTCTCCCTGGAATCTATAACCAAAAACTTTTTCAGAGAAGTATCAGAAAACCACAAGAAAATCCAATGCTGATTTCCTTTTAATATTTAGTGTGCAAAGAACACAGACCGTGATAAGCATTTTTATAGACAGTATTTCAAGAATAGGTCCAGCTCATCCTATTTGAGGTTTTGATTCTGGATGGTAACTTTTAGACAGAAACTCAGCATTTTTTTTTCCCCAGTGTGAATACTTATGTGCATAATGTTGGATATTATGTAAAAATTTGGGCAGTTTCTCTAACTATGCCTCTGTATGCCTCTCTAACAAATGTCTCTGTTTCCCTCTCTGTCAAAGATTTCCAAGAATTAGTTAGGCTTCTGTAGCACCAAAGAGGGGAATAATTTCTGATACCAACCTACAAACTTAAAATAGTCCTTGCTGTTGCTCTGGACAGTACTACAGAGCAAACGGGCTAATACAGCTCCACTCACTTTGCTCACATACATAAAGGAGAGCTGGCTTTGACAATCCCAGAGTAAGTGGAGTGTTTTCCAACCTGTCTGGACTCAGTACAGCATTGGCAAAGTTAAAATCTCAGTACCGTGCAAGCTAAGACAATATCATAAAACAGTGGAAATTGAGTGAGATTCTTTGCATTCGACATACATTAACCTAACTCACATTCTCCTTTTCACCCAGGCAAAACTCAACAATCTGAGTGTATTTCAGAGTGTTCAAAGTAAATGGACAGCAGATGAAATCCCCACCACCTCTAAAATAAAGAAATTCCTTGTCACAAGCCTAAACAACTAAGATTCTCGTGACTCCCCACGTGTGGCTACTGTCCAAGTCTTTTTCTGAGGCACTTCCAGCTGCCATTTTTAGAAAGCCAAAAATGCTCTTTTGGTACAGAATGGCTTTAATAAAATAAGCAATACCTCAGGCCCCAAATGCATGCTTAACTTTTTAGACTATGTGCTTAGAGGGGGACCGAGACATACTTTTGTCATAATTAGCTTTTTACGCAGTATGAAAGGTATCCAAACTTACTAAGTTATGAAGTCTTCTATTTCTTATTTCATATAAAAAATTAGTATGTCAGAAATATGTGTCTATTTGTGAGAATATCGTCTGCACAGGATGCTCCCCTTGTTCTTCAGCAAAAAAACATATGGAGCAAACATGCATGTCCTTCCTGGCTACTGAAGCCCTAGACGTGTTCAAGAACAAGTTCAGTGGGGTTTTGCCCAAATGAGGACTGACGCATCAGGCTCATAGTTTTTATGGCATAATAGTAAACTGGTTATATTAGCCTGTTCACAGAGCTCGGGTAAGGAGTCTGAGCAGACTGCTGTTCTGACTGTTACAAGGGTACACACTGTCTTGTAAAACACGAAGCAGTAAAAACTGAGTCCTGCAATAGCTCTGCAGGGCCCTAAAAGCTCTAAATTGGCCTGTTACAACTTCCAGTTGAGTGCAGTAGGCAAATCTGTTTTATGGTTTTTAAATAAAATTGTAATCTTCATTTTTCTTGTTGTATTACAGGGTATGGACAAAATGGTACAAAGCCATTTAATGAAATGTCGTATGCTCAGCATGTCTAGTATTTGATTTACAGTGCAAGGCCCTAGGAGCTCTAATGATTTAGATTTCTTGCTAATCAACAGATTTTTAGGTGATTGAAAATGAATGGCTGTGCAAGCATTTGTCAGGCTATAAATATTGAAAAAATATGCCAGTGCTCTCTGGGTGATTTGTAGTCATTTTGTACTGAACACCTCTTGTTTCTGTTTCTTAGGGTGTGGTTGTAATCTGATAATTTCTTTTCCCAAAAGCAGGAGCAAGAGACAAGCTATACTATTCTGAGAGCTAAGGGCACCAACGTTACTATCAGTGGCCTCAAACCTGATACCACCTACGTCTTCCAAATTCGAGCCCGAACTGCAGCTGGATATGGGACAAACAGCCGCAAGTTTGAATTTGAAACCAGTCCAGATTGTATGTATTTGTTCAAATGGTTTAAATTGATTCTCTGGCCAGTTTCTGACTGATTTGAGTGGCTCTTTTCATTCCCTTTCTGGTTTAGTAAATGCAACTCATTACTATTTATGATGTGTCTTTCTGGGTAGCATTACTATATAACTTTATGTTTTATCATTAAAACTGAAATATGCTGTAAAGAATATACCACAAATGTCACAGGTGTTATTTTCTTCCATTCTGTACCCTACTGCAGCCTGATGCCAGAATCAATACCTTCCTAGGCTGTAACTCCCATTGAGGGAGGGCTAGGTATAATACCTATTCAGTTTGTGGCCTGGACCCTATGGACTTTAAACCTTGTGCCCCAAAAGAATTAATGTTATATTGGTCCATTACTCCAGTGGGTCATTCTCCATGTTTCTGTGCAGCTTTGAGGTGAAACTAATGCGCTCAGTTAAGCAGCTGGTCCCAGAGCTGGGTGGCTTGACTCCCTTCTCTCTCTTGCTAGATTTACTTGTCTTTTTCTTTTCTCTACTGCCTAGATAGTAGCACTTGCTTACCTGATGACCTTATTGGTATTCTTCAACAGTTTTGTTGTTACATCAGAAAGTAATGGTGCTCTTCACCTAATTGTTACATTCTCATCACTTGGTACTACATAGTAAATCAGACCTTCTCTTTGCTAGAAGGTGAAAGTGGCTTAATGCATCAAAAAGTCTGCCTTTGTTTAGGTAACCGGTTACTAATGTAGACTGATGCTGCATAATTAAAGACTGTTTAATTTTTGGAAGGCAGGCAGAGTTGTATCTGCTGTTTAGAGTTGTAAGACAACTCAGGACTATAATTCTGATATGGACTCGTAAGGCTTTTTCATGTACTCATGCTAAGGCTTGAGAACCCATGGTATGAGAAATGTTCTGCTAAAATAAATTCTTAACTAAGAAGAGAAGCATGAGCCAATTGGTCTTGCATGTAACATCTATGTGTTTTTGAGATATTTTAAGTATTTCATTTTTCCCCTTATTCTTCCCCCACCTCAGCTTTCTGGAAATCAAATAAATGAGGTCCTTGTTTAAGGAAAATAATAATAATAACAATTACTTCTATGATTACATGCAGTATTGGCATAATGGATGAAACTCACAATAGGACAGAGTACAACAAGGAGAAGAAATCAGTTGTGATGATAAAAGATATCATAACTTGGAAGTTGATGAGCTTTTAAAGTAATTTTAAAATAGAAGTTTAAAAAGATAAAAGAAAAAGGGAGAAAAGGAAGAGTAACTAACCTAAAATGTGGAAGGTGTCAGCAGAGAGCATTGCATGTATCTCAATAAAGAACACACAAACTATACAGATAAACACCAGCTCACATAACTGAGTTAACTGCTGCCATGTCATAGCAACACAAGTGCAGTTCTCCCCATGGGGACAGGTGTGACTCCAGGCATCACACAGACAAACTGCCCAATTTGTGGGAAACAGGAGGGCTATCTTTCACCTCGCTGTGGACAACTAACTTGAAATGTTATGGTGAGGAGCCTAATTCTGCTTACTCAAAGATAGATAGGTGTTTACAGAAGATGCTTCACCATACCAAAGCTCTAAAGGTGTCCAGTCTATGGCAGCCTAGTGTGCCCCAGGCTGGGCTTAGGCACCGCAGCGAAGTATCCATAGTAAGGAGAAAAAAGCCCTTCTTTTATTCTATAGGCACTGATTAACCTAGATAATTCTTGTATACGTAGGTAGAATCTGTGCTTCAGTGATACTGTTAGGTTTAATTGTAATTCATTAAAACACTTTCCATCACATGGAAGTGAGAGTAAGGTTGGTTATTATCTTCTGGCTGGGATTTCTTACAGAGGAAAAATTCCTTATTGTCTGTAACAAAACAATATGTGTGTCATGGTACGTATGTTTCTGTGTATATGTGTATGTGTAAGAATCAGTTTAACAGCTGTTACTACAATCAGCAATAGTAAAAATCAGCAGTAGGAGCAATAACTCATGTAAATTTTCAAAGAAAAGATTTCTTTCATTTTCTTCACTTGTATTTATTTGTCTGATGAAAAATTACCTCACAGATTAAATATTTGGCAGGAAACCAAATGCTATATAGTGATGACTCAATCTGTCTGTTCCCTATATGAGTGTCAATTGTGGTGTAATTAATGTTTTGTGCGTGGGGGGTTATTTATATATTTTTGTGTTAACTTTCCAGCATTCTCCATTTCCAGTGAGAATAGCCAGGTGGTAATGATTGCCATTTCAGCCGCAGTTGCCATCATTCTCCTTACAGTTGTGGTGTACGTCCTGATTGGGAGGTTAGTTTGTCCTCTGTTTTGCACATTTACTCCTTCCTGCATTTTCTTGTGGGGCCTTGATGAGCATGGCAAATCAGGCATCGTCAGGGGGAGTGTGGCTGGTTTGCACCTTCTCCTTTGTCTGCTGCCCCTGGAGCTCTGGGCGCTGCTTTATGCTAGGTAATGAGCCCGCTAACGTTCGCAACCCCAATCATGCAGCAGTTGTTAAAAAATGCTATAAACACATTCTTAGGCAATTGTAAAATTAAACTGTAGGGGTCAAAAATCAACAAATCCTCTCATTAGCCAATTTCCTCAAATTCCCTGAGAACATAACATGCCTCTATAGGGTACAGAGAATGTAAATATCATTAAACTTTCAAACAGGCATTTAATTGTGGAGGAAAAACATTTCATTCTTTTTCCACCTGCAGTTAACGTATACAATTCTCTATATTCATTTTTTTTCCCCTCTGTTGCTTCTAGATTCTGTGGATACAAGAAGTCTAAACATGGTGCTGATGAGAAAAGACTACATTTTGGGAACGGCCATTGTAAGTTACTGAAGCCTTCTAGTGCTTCCATATCTTTTGAATTCATCCCCTAGATAATTGTTGTTTTTCGAAAAAAAGGGCAAAAGAAAAAAGCCATAACTCACTTAAACCAGAGTGAAATTGGGAAGAGAATTATCTCTTCTCTTGTGGGTAAGCAGATTTTCCCCAAACAATCAGTCTTAGCCTCAGATTCATTCATTTATGTTCAGGTTAGTAATGAGCGAAACATTGCAGTCTATGTTCAAACAAGGCATGTGGTTAGCAATATGATATTGATTCTGCTGTGCATTACTGAAATGCAGAGTGTAACTTCAACTTCCTCCTTATCAACTGCATAACATCTAAGCAATGACATTTTTTTTCTCAAAGCTAAATATAAAATCAATGAAATGGGTCTTGATGACTGCTGAAGGGACCATGAAAATTGCTTGCTTAACAAAGGTGACCTGATAATAAATTTATCTGGGAATTGTTGTAAGCATAGGCTAAAAAGTGATTTGGAGTAGCTTCTTAGATTAAGAATAACTACTAAACAAACATCCCACAAATTAATGGGATTTCTTAATCCAGCTCTCTTTATGATTATGCTTTGTTCAAGACGTGATTTTCCACTTGCAAGAGTGCATGTCTGTGCTTTCTGTGGGTCTCACCCGCAGCTAGGAAGAGAGCCTTTCTGCTGACTTTGAATCACAAAAAATGTAAATAGTTAATGCTCATCCTGAGGAATCTGGGTTACTCTTGAAACTTCTCCCAAAGCCAAACCCAAAGCATATCCATTTTTGATTTTTTCATACTGATTTTTGCTGAGGCTAAATGTCCCTTCATTCCTGGGTCATTCGGCTGCGTCCTGTGAAAGGAACTGCATGCAGCAAGGTCCCATCCAGGAAGTGCTTGAGGGAGGAACCGATTTTCGGAGCCCAAGACTGATTTGTGGTTACCAGGAAGAAGTCACTTGCTATGACCATAGTTGGAGGAAGAGGTCTTGCTGCAGTGTGGCAGCTCTCTCCATGCCTAGCTCTGCGAGGTGAATAACCCGGCAGTGCTTTTCCACAGCAGAGTTGTGGATTGTGAAAACGAGGTCACAATCAAAGCTCTGCCCATAACCTCTTCAAAATAGGAACGAATTAATTTTGGAGAAGTTTAAGGGAGAGGAAAGTGATGGTTCAAAACTCTAATGGGAGAAAATTCATGTTTTTTTAATCACTGCATTTTGATTTTTTTCATCTTTGCACAGAGCAGACAGTGCCATTCATAAACACCAGGACTGGAAACTCCTTTTTTTCCACCCACAGAATTCTTGGTGTCTAATGAGCATGCCTTTAATAAGAAGCATCAGTTAGTCTTTAAAGCTGCTTCAGCTCCAGCCAAGAACCCTGCTATACTATGTAAACCACACTGAACTGTATATTTCTATTGTTTAGCATATTGTAAGTTTAATGTGGTTTATGCTGAAGCATTTTCCTTCCGTGCATATCCTTTTGTACATGACAGTGACTCTGTACCACCCTCAAGAAGACAGCCACTGGTATCAGCATCCCAACCCCCCAAATATGCCTCCCCACCAAATATAATTGAATTAACATTTTAATAAGGGATTTACCAGCAGTAGTTGGAAATGAGAACTGCTTCCTAATCCCAGTGGCAGTGGAATAACTGTTCTCTGACTGTTCATATTATTCTTATTTTAAGTTAGGAGCCCTTCGTTATCTCCAGAGAGCTGTATCCACAAATGTGTGCTCCGTCCCCTGCACTGTCAAGGGATATGCAAGCCATAGGCACGGGTTTCCCTTATGCAGCCCATCTACAGCTAACCAACTAGCCTGAAAAAAAATAAATCTGTACGGTTACATGTGGCCCATAGAATTAATGCTTCATCATCCAAATTTAATGAGGTTATAAAATAAAAGCAGCCAGTAAAAAAAGTGTTGAAGACAAATAACAGGTCAGAGTTTGCTCTCCTTACTCCCACACAATGGAAAGTTGCAATCACTATTCTTAAACATGTCAGTGCAGTTAAATTCCTGTGGATTAAATTCCTTTTAATTTGGCTTTAGATATTTATGTACTGTTTTCTGAGCAGCACCATGCTGATCCACTGTGTAGTCAAAGCAGAGCTGATCCTGAATCTGGTATTTCTGTTAGAAAATATTGAAAATGATTTATTGATTTTGCAGACGTTTATCTGTTAGAATTTGTGTGTATGTATGCATTTGGCTGTTGAAACTTTATTATTCTGCTAAACTAGTCTTCCTCAAAGAATAAGAAAATAGCTCTTATGAACTAAAAATGGGTAAAGTAACTTCCCTGGCTGTCGTAAACTTTCAGCATCTCAAATACAGCAGCTGGTTTATTTCAGTCAGTTTATTCTGAATTACTTTAAAAAAGGCTCCAGCCATGAACTATTCCCTGCAGCCTTATTACAAATCCTATAATATTACTTCAAAGGAGCAAAAATGTGTTTCACCTCCTCAGATCCTCTCCCTTTGCCTTCTTTGGCTAGACCCTTTTTATTTTTTTGCTACCCTTAGGGCAATTCATGCTGGTAAAATGAAAATGTAAATTATTATGTTTGCACAGAATGAGCTGTAAAGTAGTACAGCTTAACACATGTGCATGTGTTTATTATCTGTTTTTCATGACAGAACCCAGTTACTATACAGGCTGCCCTTAATTATTGGTGTGAAGGGATTATTCTCCTTGCAGTCACCATCACCTGATCTTGGGAACCTCTGGGGTCAGCATTAAAAATCTGCAGCCAAAATCCCCACAGAGCAGAAGCTTTTAATTGTTGTTATTTTTATTGGGGGTATGAGGGAGCCAGTAACGTACATTCAGCATGGACGGAAAGGAGCATTTACAAGGTTTTTAACCAACAGCAATATACAGCCAATTACTTTTTGTTTTACTTGCAAGTAATTCTGTAATCATCAGACTCTTGAAGGAAACACGCTCAGCATTTAATGCTGCACACACGCAGCCCTTCTGTTAAGAGCGGGGTTCTTAGTTTGCCTTGTTTTTTGTGGCAATTAGCTTGGGAACTCGGTTTCATTATTTCTTTGTCAATTCTGAGGCCAATAAATCTCCATAAAATTGATTTTTTTTTCCACATACACTTGGGATTGTTTGACAAAACAATGGCAAGCTCTAACTAATGGTGGAAAGGTATTTTTTCCCATCTGTCAAGCCACAGCAAATTGTGTTTAAGTATGCTAGCACTCAACAGTTGGGTGCAGGATAATCATGCCAAGCTGAAAAGGATATTACTAGGTGGGTTAAGGCAATGTTTGGAGGAGGAGTTAATATCTTTTACACAACCAACTGATTCAGTTAGGAAAAGCCAAAATACATGTCCAACCAGGAGCTCAGGTTTTGTGGTAGAAGCAGCATACATCAAGACAGATGTACTGGGTATTTCACTATTTTTTAGAGAAACATCTTTGCATTCTAAAATGAATTCAGAGGCAAACACAAGTTACCAGGTATGAGCACAAGCATGGGTTTGAGCCAGGGAGGTGGAATGGTTTACTTTCAGCATCTTTGTGGAGAGAAGGGTTGGAAATGATAATATGCTTCTGCTTCCAATCCTGCTGGAGTAGGAGATGCGGACAGCTTGAAACCGCCTTTAAAATCATTCAGTCATTAGAACTAGTGCTTGCCTCTGGCAAACAGAGGAACCTCTGGTGAGGGGATTGTTCAAGGGGACAAAATAATGGCATCGATGCTAGGGTAACTTAGCGCTAGACCCCAACTTTAATGTGAAGAATTGGCTACCATCCTTGTACAGTATTAACATAGGAACTGGGGGGGGGGGGGAGCATGCATTTATTCATGTGTAGTTTTCTTATGCATCTTGCTGAAGGAATCAGAAAGAAAAAGTGTAAATTCAAGTGCTCTCTGTAGTATATTCCTGAGAACTTTTCAGCTTGACTGTAGCATCACCCATTTAGTTTTATGTCTCATTGCAATTCTTAAAAAATAAAATAAAATAAAAATATATCAGGCAACATCTAAACAGAGCAAGCTGGGAGGGGCAGGTAGTATTTTAATATTTGACAAGCAAATATGGCAAGTGCAGTGTTTCTCAAACTTCTATGCAATAACTACATCAGTGGCTTTGGTTTCACACTATATTAAGATTTGTGGAGAGTCATCAAACGCTGTTTGATATGTGAAGAAGCAGTGTACCTTTTTCTGCTATTGATTTGATTTCTGTTGTTTCATTTGCTTTCTTTAGAAGGATTAGTTAAGTCTAAGTAACATTTTCTCTCTGAATTTGTTTTTACACAGTAAAACTCCCAGGCCTGCGAACTTACGTAGATCCACATACATATGAAGATCCCAATCAAGCTGTACATGAATTTGCCAAGGAACTAGATGCTTCCAATATATCAATTGATAAAGTTGTTGGAGCAGGTAATGACCATCAGATACATTGAACCTAAGATATCTTTTTACTGTGTGTACTGTTTTACATCTTTGATTTTATACTTGTGACTGGAAAGGAAATTTTCTCAGATCTGCAACTTCCTAAATCATATTTATAGCTGACTTCCATACATATGAATAGTTAGTAGCACACACATCTACTTTTTTCCCAAAGAAAGCAAATAACTAGACCATTTTTCAAATGACAGCACACAGCTCACTCTTGGATGCAGTATGCTTAAGAGTGAAAAGAGACTTCAGACTCACTTCTGTGTTTCTCTTTAAAGTCTGTCAGCACAGAAAAAGGTATCAACTGCGAAGATGCTTTCTGTATTTTCCTTAAATGGAATGATGGTGACTATTATGCCTTGAGTGAAAGCACAAACTCATTTCATACCAGTCACCACACATCCATCACACTGCAGTGACCTTTGGCCATTAGATTGATTTTGGTCACTGCTTTGGATTTGAATTATTGATTTAGCAGGAAAGGGTTGTCTGTCTGATAACCGGTTGTCTGAGCCATGCAGACGCCATAGACTGTTGGGTTTACTGAAAACAAACTGTTGAAATGAGCAGATTTTGTAGCAGAGGAGCCAGATTACAGAAAGCCTCATCACACCGAGTTGTCCATGTTGCAATGCAGAATGGAGCTCTTGACAGGTTGCATGCTGCTTGCTTCTTGAAGTGAAGTGGCAGATTGTCTCATCGAGCCAGATGATCATGAAGTGTTAGCTTTCCTGCTAAATTAAAGCATTTATGAGAGAAGTACTATTGATTTTTAATCCATTGAAAATTACTAGTTCTTTTATTATTGATTTTTTTTTTTGCTTCTCTCTAAATTTACTATTTGAATTAAAATCATGAGATGTGAGAGAGACAGACTCCTAGTGCACAGCAAAAGATATTCATTTGGAAAAAAAAATGTAGAAGCAAGCTTCTTTGCTCAGTGTATCTTCTGAATAGCCCAGTGAAATGAAACACTATTCACTCTCTCTTACTGCAGCTACTCAGCTGCTTGTAGGAACTTAGATTGTTTTCAGAAAAGATAGATTTGGTTCTTGCTGGTTTTAATTTTGCCCCACAAGAGTGCACTGTTCTCCATCATCTTCGGTAAAGGCAGCAAAGCTCTGCTTACCACACGATAGAGAATGAGTATAGATAGAGAAGGGTATTATTGAAAAACTAAGTCCAAGAGCAGTATATTTCACTGTGAGTTTTTAAGGAGTCTTCACAAATGTACACTTCCTAAACTTGCATTGTAGAGTGTATGAATGCAGAAAGCAAATCTCTAAGAATCAACAATATATCCTACTTTATAACTCATTTTTGGACATATTTTTAGCTCCGAGTACACATGAAAATGAGAGGTAAACCAAAACTGGACAAATGTGAGCTCTGAAAATGGAGGAATCGTTTTCTAAGAAGCTTCAAAAAAGCTGTCCTAAAAGTTCTAAATGTTCTAAAAACATTGGAGGTTTAAAAATAAGTCCCTATGTTCTACTCCAGTGACAGTGTTGGTAGGTTCAACAGCGAAACCTGTAGGTCCTCTGCATATATTAAGCAGGGACTTAATATACATTATAAAGCTGTCTGTTTGGAGCCCGTGGCTCAGATTCATGCAGTCTAAACTCTACATGTGGGATTACAGTTACCGTTTCCTATTAATAGTCATCAAGGATAGGAATTGGAAGGGGAAGCATGGATGAAAAGTGGGTTATGCAGTGGTGGGAGCTTCCAAAATGCATGTGTAGCATCACTTCACGCTGCCCTCATGTTCTACACGTGGTAGCTCATGTATTTGGAGCACTACGGAAGACGCTGAACAGTGGTGAGTTCCTCCTAGGCTGCTTCTGCAGGAGCACCACCTTCCTTCCTCCCCCAGTGCAGAAAGGCATTTCCTGTCTCTTACTTGAGTCAATGACGTACTTGCGTGAAGGACTTTTTTCCTGCCTTCTCCTTTACAAATGCAAGTGTGAATGAAATTATAAAAAGGTAGAGATTTGAGAGGAAGGGATTCATTTAACTGCATTCAAGTGTGACAGAAGTAATGAGATATTCAAGCGAGAGAAGTAATTTTGGTATTCTGGGGTACTTGTCCAAATAGTTTTTCACAACCTTAGCCAGAACTCTGTGAGAGAATAGAGGGCAGCTTACATAGCTTTCAGAACATGCTCATATGCAATAAGGAAATGCTCTTGTCCAAAAGAACCTCAAGAAAAACACAAGGGATTTTACTGAGAGGCTAAGCATAATAAAACTCAGGTCAGGAGCCACATTTTCAAGTTTTTCTTTTCAATAATTCCTTCCTTTTTTTTTTTTTTTTTTTTTTTTTTTAAAAAAAAAAAAAAAGCTCGTTTGTTTTTATGGATCCAGTTCAGCAAACCACTTTAAAAGTTTAAATCCAATTGGATCACAGGAGAATACTACGGAAAATGCTTTCTTGATTTGGAATTGACATAAGATTGTACTTCGCTGAACATTAGAGCATGCGTGTGCTTTTCTTTCAAAGTTTAAATATACTTGTAGTGTGGCATCTTGTTTGTCTAAGTATTTCTAACATTTTGGGGTCAGCTGCATTACCTTATCACAAGGGTTTGCAGTGTCTCAGGCCGTATGGTTTATTGCTGTAATATTACTGTGGTTCACAAGGTTTGTGAAAGTCAACTTAGCTGCCCCTCCAACTCTGAGGCAGTCTGTGCACAGCAGTACTATCACTATTTAAAACAAAGCTAAGTTAATGGAGCAGTCAATTTCACAGATTCATCTTTTCCTTGTCCTCTGGGACTAAATGCATGGCAAATAGCATTTACTGATGCAGTAAGCAGCCCATTAAAAATAAAAAAAAAAATCTGAGAGATCTTTATATCATAAGTAGCCCTCCTAATAATATGTATTTGTTTTCCACATATAAATAGATTCATCAGTCGGCAGGACAGGATACATAATGTTTATGGGCGTAGCATAATTAAAAATGAGCACTTCAGAAAGGCTTTACATAAAAAGCCATCAATGTCATCTCTTAAAGTCAGTGCCAGTTTTTCCACCTTCCAATTTATACACAAAGTATTATTCCCCCAAAACAGTATCTGATGAGATAGATACTGTTTCTTTACATACAGATGTCCCAAGTCCATTTCTGGGACCATATAGTAGTGATTTTCAGGGAAAAAAAAGGTAGTGTAACTGCATATCACTGTGGGTGTTGGCCAGATAAACTTACGTTGTGTCCATATGGCCATGTATATGAAGGAAGCAAACATATTTAGATTGCCTGCTGAGTTTCTTCCAACTTACTCAGAGTAGTTTATGCTTCTCAAAATTTTGGAAACTAAGGCAATATTTACATGTCGATGAAGAATTATGGGTTTTGTTGTTGTTGTTTTCCCAAGGAAGTAAACTCATGTCATATTCCCAGACACCAGGGAGTTTCATCACTACAAAGGGTCTGATTTTCAGTCTCCTGTAGCATCTACTGGCCTTCAGGCATTTGTGGAATCTGATTCCCCCAAGCTCTAAGTTGTGCAGCCATGGCTAAATAGGACCATGTTGATGGACATCAGCCATAACCTTTTCCTTCCCAAAAGCCAAACAAATACCAGATTTATGATTCCAGGCTGAAATGAAGGATTGATTGCCCAGACTGCTTTCTGCAATCACAGACACACTCTTTATTGACAGTAACTGACCAACAGTTTTAAGAGGTTAGAGAGTTACAGCTTTTTGGACTATTGAAGCATAGAGAAAAGGGAATACAAATCTGAACATAACAGGCTTTATTTTTTCCCCTTTCCTCCTGTTTTAAATACATGCTCTTGTCTTCCTCTTTGTGGTGTTCTGGCATGATAGAGCTGAGGCTGGTGTTTGAACTGAAGTGTTTGCTCTTGGTAGAGCATACCAGTCATCTTAGCTTGCATGTTAATTTTTAATTAAGAAGTCTGGGTGAAACTCAGCACTCATTAGTGTACTAGTAGTAGATTTTATCATGCGTTTTCTGAGCATTTGCCTGTCTTGGCAGCCTGAAATTACAAATAATAGTAGAAATAGTGGATGTAATATAAGTGCAATTTTATATCAAGATATGCCCTGTTATTAATTTTTGGGTTATTACATTAATAGCACAATATCATGCCTGGAAAACGAAGCAGCTCAGCAACTGGTAATAAGATACGGTGGCTTTCAATTTATTGTTGACTCTAGCATGGGTTACCAACAGAGAAAGGTTGTTGCCCTTTGACACATTTGTTCAGTTTTTTTTGTTAAATTATCTGTCTGACAGAGAAACCTTAGAAAATAAATCTGAAAAGTGACCTCAAGAGGTCATTAAGTCCATGCCCTTGACCAAAACTGATCTTGTTAGGTACCTTTCTTGACAGATGCTTATTCTTTACAAACTCCAAGATAAAAGAGTTCATAGCCTCTCTTGAAAAAAAAAAAAAAATCTTCTGTCCAAGTGTCCTTACTGGTAGATTTTTTTTCCTGATCTAACTTAACTTTATTTTAATTTAATTTACTTTTTTTTTTTTTTTTTTTTTTTTGCCTCTTGAAATAGGAGTTAGTGCCCATTTTATAACCATTACTTTAATATGCCAGAACCATTACAATTTCTCCCATTTCTCAAGTCTTTGTAAATAAAAAAATAAACAGCCCCAATTCCCTGAGCTATGAACAGGAATACACTGCCCTGCCTTTTAAGATTCTGGTCATTGCTATTATTCCCATTGTCCTTCCTAAATTGCAATACTCCTAACAGGACATGGACTCTAATGCCAACCATATAGGTGGCAAATTGATGGAAGAATAATTTAAATTTACAGATAAGTACAGTAATATATAAGCAAATGGATTGAAGGTAAATTTTAAAACCTATCCCATGTGGTATCATCTCTGAAGTCAATAGTGCCAGAGGATTTCAGTAGAGGGATGCCAATCCATCACACTTTTTTGAGCTTTATATCCACAAAGAGAACATGATTTCAATTTGCTCATCAGAAATATCTTATTTGTATGCTTTTGGGATACTTTTATTTTTCACAGATGTTGCTTAATGTAAACAGTCAGCTGCACAGGTAAAGGGAGTATCGTTGTGGGCAAATGAATTTGAAAAGCCTTTGTTCCTTAGAAATAAAGTAATGCTAGTGCATTAAGAATTATTGAACATAAAGTTGGGAAGAAGCTCATATATAAAAAGTGTAATCACTTTTTCTGTTATGTTTTACTGACAAAACCACAGAAAAATCACAATTTGCATAAAAGTGATGCTGCCTAGATTTAGGCTTACTGGGCTCGTTGCTTTCCAAGTCAAACTTTCTGCACAAGGCCACTTGACAAAATACCATTTAGATCTTACATACTTTGAAGGAAAAAAAAAAATAGAGTATACCCATTAATTGACAGAAAATGTGTTAAAACTCTCCAGCAACACCCTCTGTTGTCTACAAAGGAAAAAAGCTTTCTTTTCTTTCCTGTTCAGTGCAGTGTCTTTTTTTTAGTTATTATCTCTAAATATAATAAACATGTAGGGCAATTCTTGCACTCGTATCCCTCATACATTTCATCTATTCTCCATTTGTATCGTATTTTTCATTATTTCAACTATTTTGTCTTTCAGACAAGGAATCAAAAAGTTATTCATGTGTTTTTAACTTGGTTGCTCTATGTTCAGTTTATTATATGATATCTAAGATGAGGGGGGAGGATAATTGGGAATCAAAAGTCAGTTGCAGCTCATGTGTTTTTTAATATACTGAAATTTTCTTATATCTTTGGTGTCATTAAGTAAATATAGAAATTTCCAAGTGAGATGTTTTCTTCAAGCAATCTGTTAACATACTTTATACATGCTCATTTGAATGCTAGGATAAGTTTTGTCTCCTCTTCGCTGTTGCATAGCAAAGGATAAACCACATTGTATACAAGTAGGCATTTGGTAATCTCTTCCATTTTCTATTTAAGGATCTCATGCAATTCACAGTGGGCACAATTATTCATGGTGGACTGTCATGTCCTATAGACCCATAGTGAGAGTGTATATTTACACAGATCCATCTGAATAATGGTGGAACAAAGGAGATTTGTATGGCTTGCTTTTACCATCAGGCGTTTATGTAGACAAATTTATTCCTTATAAATTATCTTGCTATTTTAATTGAAATAAAAATAATTGGGAACTGAACTGTCTCTGGTAAAAATTAGTATAACGTTTGCAAAGATGCACAACTATTCTGATACTTTCTGTTAATCGGTTTGACCTCCTATTATTGTCTCAAAGTGCATCAACTGGAAAAAAAAAATAGGAATTTTCTGGTGACATTAATGCATTCCTCTGCTCTGCAGTCATCTAAATATGCAGTGTAAATGAGTGACATTGTCCAGTGTAACAGCCAGAGAAAAGAAGCCGGGAAATGTTAAGTAGTGAGTGGTCTGGAGGCCTCCTCTGGGCTCAGGTCTGTGGTTTTTCAGTAGACATTGCACTTCAGGGACTTCGGCTGAACATTGTACCTTCTTTCTTAAACTCTCTTGAAGTAACTGCATTTAATATTTTGTCTTTTTTTCCACTTTTTTTTTTTTTCCTAGGGGAATTTGGAGAAGTGTGCAGTGGGCGCCTAAAGCTGCCTTCTAAAAAGGAAATTTCAGTGGCTATCAAAACCCTGAAAGTTGGCTACACAGAAAAACAGAGGAGGGATTTCCTGGGAGAAGCAAGCATCATGGGACAATTTGACCACCCTAATATCATTCGACTGGAGGGCGTTGTCACTAAAAGTAAGTTTTGAGGGGGGCATCCATTTAGTATGGGAAGTGTCACAAGATGGCCTCCCAAGGTCCCTTCCAATCTATACTATTTCTGTGATCCTCTGGTCTTTTGAGAAAGAGCAAAAGAGAGGAAAAGAGTGAATCATCAGTGTTTATGCTCTGCAAATCCTTCCAGAGACATTCGTCCTAAACTTGATAATGTGTACCAAATATCCTTCAAAAGAGATAACAAAAGAAACACATAGCTTGACTTTTGCAATGTGTATTGTATTTCCTCAAAAGCAGGGAAAAAAATTACCCGTGTGGAAGCTCATGCTGATGGATCCAATAAAGAGAGGTATCAGAGGCAATTGCCTGCAGTGAAACTGCAGGACCTTCTCTGCCTTGCTGCTCTCAGGATGCTGAGGACTTAAAAACAGCACCCTGGGTTAATGAGATAAGGAAAAATGGGGAATAAAGATACTCTGCTTGAAAATGATACAGATAATGTGGAGAAAAAGGAGCATTTCTGAAGAACATTGCAGCTAACTAATGAACTGGCAGATTTTAGGAACTGATTTAATACTCTGGAGCTATAAATTGCTACAAAGTGGCCAAGAGGCACTTGCTGATAATCTGTTAGGAGTTCTGGAGTCTGATGTCCTAAGGTTCCCTAATTGCAATGAAGCAATATGTCCTGCTTTCAACTAAATCATTAGACTTTATCATCAGCACAAATTAATGAGCAGTCTACCTGGCTACCAGAACAGATGCTAGTATGTAAGTAACATTTTTCCTACATGGTTTTCATGCAGGAAAAATATTCTGTGTGATATTCTGTATCTACCAGCGTGGGTCCTCCAGAATTAATACCTCTTAGTAAAAATCATAAAACATCTTGGAGACTTAAGCTATCAGTAATAAAATTAATCTTATTTCTTTTTTAATATTTATATTTTTGCTAATGGGCATTTTATAAATCTGCCTTTGGGTTGTGGGTGTTTTACTTTGTTTTTAAAGCATATTGTCAATGTTTATGATAACAACTCAGTTTCTTCTGAGACAAAATGGTAATTGAAAACTATCCACACTTAGATTACTTGTCCAGGAAGGTAATCTATTTGAAGAACTATCTCCAGCTCCACTTGATATAAGATAACAGCATGTCGTAACAGGCATTCCTGAATGCTGGTGTTGGTCTTCAAGCTCTTGTAAGCTCTCCTGTGACAGCTGCAGTTGCCTCTTCCATCCAGCTGCCAAGAGCCACATGCCCTTCATCTTACAAGCAGCTGGTGGGATCTCCTGCTTGTGATGCTTCCTTCTTTAGGAGAGTTCTGGCTCTCATTGCTTGTGCTGCTGGTTGGCCTCCATCTTGGGATACAAAGACAGAAACAGTTGGTACTAGAAACGAGGCGTGACATCTAAGCTTGTTCTGAGAGACCTAAATTCAGAGACTTCGTCTGCATTGTTTCCATTGCAGCACAAGGCAATATATTCAATGATCAAAGTCCCGTAGTAATTGCTAAGTAGGAGATAAAAACTTTATATGAGTTATTCTTAAAAAAAAATTAAAAAATGAAAAAGATTCAGGAGTGCCCTGAAATTCTTCAGGGGAGCAGAATAAGTGCATAGCACATTTTCTAGTTCATCCCAGAGGACTGCTGTTAAAACAGCTCTTTAGAATGAAGAGCTCCTTGGAGTGTGCTGAGGACACTTGCAGTTTTACTAGAGTATACCCCAGTTTGTTTTTAAGTAGATGGTTCTGTTGTTTCTAAATAATCTTGTTTTTTTAAAATTGGGTGGTTCAAGGTTTCACAAACAAAAAAGGCACAAAAGAATTTCACAGCTTAGTGCAACAAAGTAAAAGAAATATATATATACATATATGTTTAATAATAATTAATGAAAGTACAGTAAAACCCTATATGTTATGAAGAAACAGTTACAATTATAATGTTTTCTTTAGGTGTTATTCATGCAAGTCTGTTTTTGCTGATTTAGATTAAAAAAAATTATTATTCAACTTATGCCTCACAGTTCCCATTGGGAAAGAGCTGCCAGATCTGCCTGTATAAATTCAAGTTATCTCCTGTTTTCTAATGACACACACTTTGTACAGTCAGAATTATATTTACAATCCATGAATTTCTTGAAACACCAATGTCAGTCTGTACACAGCAGAGCTAAAATCTGTTTTGTTACATTTTCTGTTTCTGAGGCACTTCAGAAAATGATTTACTGCTCTGCATTCAGGATTCTTTGCACTGCTTTTAAATGTGCATTGCTAATTCTGTATTCATATATTCTTGTATAGAAGAATATTAGTCAGTTTGCCCCTCGGCTGTACTCACAGCATATTCGCTATCTGTCTCAGGGGTGTTTGGGAGTGCTAGCTGTCTATCACCTTCAAGTATGAGAGAGCAAGATCTGAGTATTCCCAGCTGAAGTCAATATAAGCATCAGGGATTCATCCCCCTCTCCAGATAGCTGGAATAGCAATATAGGACTTGAGAAAACTCTTCTGGAAGTACTTTCTGGGTAAAATCATATGGCATAAATGCAAGCAACAATAATCATCAATTTTTCCCTAATGTTCACTAAGGTGATAGAAGGGTGTAAGAAAGTGGGTTTTGTACTTTGTGTTTTGCTGTGTTTTTTTTTTGTTGTTGTTGTTGTTTTTTATTATTATTATTATTGTTGTTGTTGTATTTTTTTAAACCAGACCGGTATATTGCAATAACAAATTATCAAGTGTTTGTATCCTTTATGGTGGCTATTAAATCACACTCAAAAGTGTTGATTTATATACAAACTTAAGAGAAAATCTGCAAAGCATTTGCTGGATCACCCCCAATACAGATAAGCAGGCAATGTGACCTTTTGTTCATTAACTAAACTCCTTTGACTCAGTGAACTCACTTCTCATACTAAGCACCTCTTTGGAAGCAACTTGTAGTAGATGCAATGGCCACGATTCCTGTAGCAGGACTGCTTGGTATGAAAAGTTCTGCAGCTGTGGTGGCTGTGATTTGCCTGACGACATGCTGGCAGTAAGAGAGAGGGGCACTCACCAGATACAACTACAGTTTGATTTTGGTTCTGAGTTTTCCTGCTATGCTGGTCTCCCAGGCACTCGGTAGGCAGTAGTCCTAATAACCAGCACACATGTTCTGCTTAGTTTACTAATAATTTACAGCAATTTGTAGCCTGTTAGTGTAATAAATTTCGGCAACACTGTTGACACAAGTTGTTATCGTGTATGAACGGCTGTGCTTTGATAAATGAATGCAGAGTGTGCTTTTAAAAGTGCACAATGTTGCTTCAGAGCATATGCTTCTTATTATGGACACATTTCCAACTGGATGCGAGCAAAACCCTGCACTTAGGGCTTTCTTAGTATGAGTGAGCAAGTCAGGAAGATGCTCTCCTAAGAATTTCGGATCTTCTTACTCTAAGAAGACGGATCTTCTTACTCTAATTTGAGTCTTCTGATGTGTCATAAAATTGAGTTTATACAGAAACCAGGCAACTGTCTCCTGTTTTCTAAGTATATGGATTTATTATGGAAAGTTTTGGATAGCCCCAGCAGAGCACTGTCCTATACCTTAAAGGTCCAGCAGCACTTTCTATGCATTACCAGAAATGCTTTGGGGCTAATGTTACATGCACACCATAAGGTACTTTTTGCACTGCATATTTATTGTTTACAGCAAGCAACAGAATTTCTTTTAGAGATTGTACATCGTTAGCTCTTTTATCTGTACCATATCTTATATAACTTGATATCAATGCTTTGAATAAAGAGTTTGTTCCCACTACTTAATGGATGACAGAGGGTTATCCAGTAGTATGTCTCCCACAGTATAGTGCATCAGTTGCAGAGCAGAAGAAAAGTATTTCAACCCTTAACCTATGCAAAGAGGACAATGGATTTTCTTCTAAAAGTTCTTGAAATAAATTTCAAATTCTTTGAAGTGAATGTTTTTCTTAAGAATTTCTGTTTGGTGAAAGTTGTATTTTTGGGTGTGGGGTGGGGAAAAAGGTGTTGTTACCATTTGCTTTTCTCATGGCTTTCTTGCTTTTAATTACACCCCATACTTCTTCAAGTCTCATGCTGTTCGATTTTTGAAGCTAAGTATCACCAACTGTACAATATGCAGGCCTTCATCATGCTTTTATGGTCAGAAGTCTTCCTGTATTATATGTGAAATAATAATTCATCTCCTTAAATAACTTCATGCTCCTACCCACCTTTCTACCATGAAGAGAAAATAAACAAAGCTTTAGAAAATATTATGAAATAGTAAAATCCACATGATGAGTAAAATATTAGCAGGGCAATGACCTTTGTGTGGAAACTTCACCATAATCACATTAATTTTGTGTTCATTTCTCTCCAGCATGTCAGAGTTGTATATAAAACCTTGGGCATGTTACAAGATAACTTAGGGTAAACGAAGCAGTTTCACAAACTGATCTGAGTCTCTCCAGATGAGTTTTCAGATATGAGAGGCTTTTCAGAGACACAGGGCTGCTACATTAGGGAGCGTGTTGCTGCTCTCAGGTACCTCATAATCTGGGGAACGTGTTGACTGTGCCCCAGGGGTAGAGCCCTTGTCCCTCCATTGTGCAGACCAAGGCACCTGTGGAGAGAAGCTGTGGCTCTTCCAAAGCCTGTGCCCAGTTCCCTTCTGCAAGAAGCATTGGGTAAGTGCTTGGCAGAATACACTTGCTTCGTTGCATAAATGCAACCATTCTGCACAACTACTGGATCAGGCACAGTGCACTCAAAGTGCAGGTTGCTTCACCTGCTAAAAATAGTATCAGCTTATGCTGAAGCATTTCTGTTTTGTTTTGTTTTGTTTTTTCGGTGCAATCACCATTACATTGAGGGGACAGTTATTTTTGCACATGTACCTTTTTGCTTTCTATTTTAAAGGTAAAATTATTCTTGGTATTTGGTAAATTTGGACATGTTTCTGAAACACCTCTTTTGCTGTATTCACGTGTTCATTTGAAATACCTGACCACTGTAATGTTTTTGCAGGTAAACCAGTTATGATTGTTACTGAATATATGGAAAATGGTTCCTTGGACAGCTTTCTGCGGGTAAGTGCAATAGATAACTACATGGGGCATGACCATCTCTTGTTCTGAACTTGTTATGAATGTGGAGCCACTTTGCTCTGATGCATCATAAGCTCTTGTTGCTCGGTATTTCATTATTTCCACTGGGTTTTGTGTGCATTGTGATCTGCTCAGAAAGCTAGGCAAGGATCTGCTGTTGCATTTTGACTGCTGTCGCTATTATTCCAAAATTAACTAGACTTTTTTGTTTGTTTTATTAATATATCATTTCTATTAAAATAAATCTGGCACACTAAAATTAAGATTATTTTTCTTAGGGCAGAACTACCACTGTAATGCCATTGCGCATTTTAGTTGGCAGCCTGTATGTCTTACAAGTGATTTCCAAAGCAAACGGATTTGTGGAAATGTTATCGGTAAACCAGTAATAGTGAACCAAGGGCCATTTCCCTAAATGTGAACAGTTTAGGGAATAAGCCCTTACATGGGGGTGTTTGAAATGTTTTGATAGCAAGCTTTATTAGCGTGTTTTCTTTCCACAACCTTAGGCATACTGATACTGTTGTTGATTTATCTTTGTTTTCTGTCGAAGTTGGTAGCGAGCCTAAAAAAATTTGAACGCTCCCTGTGTCACCAAGATTTACTTGTGGCAAAACACGAAGTGTAGCAGAAATGAAATCCCTTCTGAGGGGAAACACTAGTTTAATTTTAATTTGTTAGGGCAAACTCAGCTGTCGCTGGGAGACTGCTTTGGTTCTGCCACGGTTGAATGACATTATCCCCCAAATTCATAACACTGAACTAGACGTTTAACCCCAAAAGGGGACATATTGTCAACCTTAGTTTCAGTATGTACTGTATATGTTATGAAGTCCACTGAAGCATGTAAAATACATATAAATAATGTGTCAGTGTATCTGAATGAAATATACCTACACTGAACGATATATATTTTGTTTAGGCTAGAAATCCTTGAAGAAAGTTCTGAGGACAGGAGAATAATTTCTGACTGTAGAAACCGGTTGTTCAGCTTGTTTGGTCATTTGAGTGTGATTTTTTTTTCTCTTTTACTGTTGTTGCATGGAAATATAGATTAAGAACTTTGTGAGTCACTAATATCATAGGCAACACAGGCTATGTAACCCACTTTATAAATGACTCTTAAAACTAGTTAGTTTGCCTTCCCCACTGCCATTGAAATGCTATCTGAGGATCTCATTCCTTTCATGGTTACAAACCTTGTGATTCCTAGCTAAATCTTTTCCAGGGTCTACATAGACCCTCTTGTGTTGGCTCTAGTTAAGACAGCTTCATAGCAGAGAATTGCTACGAGTCTTTAATAATAATAAATTTCTTCATTAAAGAGAATTCTGAGAAGATCTTTAAGCATCCTCTGTGCAATATATTTATCTAATGTTTACAGTGCTAACATTGCCCTTAAGTATATTAATCAGAAATGAAATGAATGCAATCAGTCTTGCAGGCTGATTCGTGTGAGCTCACCCTACATGGCAGAGCCAACTCTGATGTATTTAATAAAATTCTGGAAGAAGCAGCAGGAAGAGCTGGAGAGCTGCCCATGATGATACATTTATGGCAATGGAGGATTCATTTGAGAGCTGTTGTAGGTCATACTGTTGTCTTGTTGTCTATGTATCCATATATCAATACCAATGCTTAGTGTTAACAAACACTGTTAGTAAGAGCTAGAAGATTTAAAACATATGTCTAGAAGTATACAATTAGGAATCTGTGCATCTGTTGGTTTCTAGGCTAAGTCACATTGTGCTTAAGTAATTTTGTGTTCATGAAGTTGAGGAAAATCTTGAGGAATGAGTTGAAATTTGAGGGGCATTTGAAAACCAATGAATCAAAACAGCATTTGTTACTATTGGGGGAAAAAAAAAAAAAAAGAAAAAAGTTATAGAAAACTTTCATTAGGCCATTGGATAAGGCTGGGATTTTCACTACCAGTTCCTATGGCCTTTAAGAGAAACCGGACATCTGTTTCCCTAATGTCCTGACATTCCAGTCTCAGGGGCACACGCAACTGAGATTTATGTGCCACTTATATACAAGTCCCATCTAGGAAATTAAAATTTTGATGAGAGCAAGAACAGGAAAACTGAATTTTTATCTGAATTGAAAATCTGTCCCTTTACCCTCAGCTGATGGGGAGATTATTCTCTACAGATCAAAGTAGTTCCATGTGTGGTATTTAACTCTTGATCCCTGACTTGAGCTCTTCACCCAAGGAATTTCTGAGGTCTTATCAAAAATCCTGTGCAAGAAGGAGCACAAACGATCTCTGAAATGACATTTCAAATGTTTTTCAGAAACACGATGCCCAGTTCACAGTCATTCAACTAGTAGGCATGCTTCGGGGGATCGCATCTGGCATGAAATATTTGTCAGATATGGGTTACGTCCATCGAGATCTAGCTGCTCGTAATATCCTCATCAATAGCAACTTGGTGTGCAAAGTCTCCGATTTTGGTCTTTCTCGTGTGCTGGAAGATGACCCCGAAGCTGCGTACACAACAAGGGTGAGTTTCTGTGTTTATCCTTTTAAAATTATTGGTTTTTGTTGTGGCAAAGTTAGTCTGAAAGCTGAGGGAGTCCCTCAGGCTTATACTCTGTGTTGCAGAGGCTATCCAGTCTTGCTTGGCCAGACATAGCATAGCATCAAACATATCATAGCTATATTTGTAGTCATGTCTCAGGGAAGATGGAAGGCAAAAAGCACAGTTTGTGTTGATAGATTAATTTTCTTACAGTGTGCAAAATTTATGGCTTGGTTTCATTCTGCTGAGTGTGTCAAGGAAAGAATACCACAACAGTACACAGTGATGTAAGACTTGATGTGTGCAGATTTTGTCACACTGGTGACTGAACAACTACACAGTTTTAAAAAAAATCCCACTCAGGGAAAAAAAAAAAAAAAAAAAAAAAAAAAAAAGCTTTATGATTTTATATCTTCTAGTATGATGGGATGCATGTTTTGATTGGAACATACAGAGATCACTGTTCTGTGAAAGGTACATCAGTCATACTTGCTCTTGTACCTCTAACTGAGCAAAAGCTTGAGTAAAACAAGAAAAGAAGTCTTCCTTAACAATATAATTAAACTTCCCGTGCTTTCTTCTTTTTGGCTACCCCATAGAGTAGCTTGCTTCTTTTTTTTTTTTTTGGATTTCATTCTGACTGAAAAGCTACCTGTAAGCTACTCTATTTGCTTAGCCAGGAGCCTTAGAAAAAAAACACATTGTCTTCTAAGCACAGCTTTGTTGCACCTCTTGTTCTCAGTTGAATAACACTTCTGTTTTGTTGTGAAAACCTTGAAGGCATACATTTAGCTTCATGTATCTCGATATTACACTGGGATTATGCCCAGTTGTTCACTTAGTGTTATTGCAAGTGGATTTTATTAACTTTAGGAAAAGTGTCATTAATATCCAGTATCTTACTTGAGTGTAATTTGTACTGAAGCTTAGTAGTAGTCTCTTCTTCACTGTACCAACCAGATTAGAGTAGAATGTATCAGAAGAATCTTAATATAGGTTTTCTAGGGTTTCTTTCATTCCTGATCTCAGACAGGAGCAATCAATTATTGTGGTAGTGTGCACGCTATCCTCTTCATGACTGAAATAAAATAGTAGGTGAAAAACAAGTTAAGAAACTCTGTTTGGTTTAACACATATATCCATACATATATGTACATATGTATTCATGTTTATGTATATTTATCAATCATATCTTCATAATTTACCAGATATGATGACATTGTTCTTTACTTGACCTTTCTGTGCTTTCTTGGATTTTTGATGAGCTTTAGCATGTTGTTAGAAGCAGACAATGTATACTGCTTTAAAAAAATGTCCACAGAGATCTCACATGATTAATACGAAGAGACTTTAGGTAGGAGAAAGCAGCTTTCATGCTCAGTATATAGGTGCAACATCCATAGTTAAATATTAATACAACAGAGGAGTTCCTTAAGAGAAAATCACCTATAGTTCAACCACAGAGGTCTGTTGCCTTGTCAGATATATTCACCTGACCTCTTCTTAAAAACCTCCTGTGAAAATAATGGGTGTTAGTGTTTCCAAGCTAAACAGTTTCGGGTACACTATACATGTAGTCTAATATTTAACCTTCCTCCCGCAGAACATATGCTTGCTCATAGGCCAGTGATCAGTCCCCTCTTTAAAGCAGCCACTCGCATGGAGATTGACATGCTCTTCACACACATCCCTCCAATCTTTTCTTCTCTAAGCATTTTTCCAAACTTGACTGTTCTTACTGGTCTTGTTCAGACTCTGCATGTTTACATTTTCCTTAAGTGCAATGCCCAAAATTGGATAGAATCAATCCCTAGCACCAGCCATAGCATGAAGCTCTTGCTTCATACACATGCAATTTCTGTTAGTATCTTCATGAGTTAGAACTCTATTTCTCCTCCCACCCCCAGCACAACTTAACCTTGTGACACATGCCTTTGTCAGACTTGAATGGTGAATTTTCACGTTCCAAAATTCATCCAGGCATGCAAACTGATCTATAATTTAGTAACTGCATTTTGTGTACTCACATGAAGAGCTGAGGATACCTTTGAGTCGTAGTTAACCTGAATGAAAAAAGTTGTATAGACAGAAAAACTGGCTTCCCAACAAACTGCGTAGCATATGGCTGCATAAGAGAGGTGGACTTCCATAAAAATTGAGTGCACATAAATGGCTTATACCCCTGGGTGGGCTACAGCAAACCAGGGTGCACAAGGTGTCACTGTTTTCTGCCAGTGTTACATCTAAATTTCCTGTGACCAAGTGCAGTGTTGAAATTTTTTTTCTTCTTCTCTTTCTGACACCTATTTTCTAAGCCTACCTTCCTATTTACATTTAGATAATGAAATGCAATGCAAAGAAACTGTTTTGTGAAGTGTATTCATCTGTGTTCAGTAAACTCCATCTGGCATTTATGGTGTATATGCAAACTGCTGCAGGGAGATGCTCAGATAATTACAACCTTCAAATACAACCTAGGGCAATTTAATTTCCTTCAAAAGTAGTCACTGAATATACCTCAGCCACGTCTTGGCTCTGAGAGAAGGACAAGGGTATTTGCTGCTTGTCTCTCTGATCTAATGTCCTTTGAAGTGAATGTCATACACACGTCCAGGTAGCGTGTCCCTGAGGTTTGTTTGGTCCCCAGCTTAAAAAAATGGTAATCACAAGCATGAAAGCACTCCACAGGGCACGTTTTCCCTCAGTTGGATATGTCCTAAATGTGTTTAAGACCTGGGGTGTTCCTGTTGTACCTTCTGGTGATGCTCAGCTGCCTCTGACCACTGCCCTAAGTGCCCTGTGAGACAGCACTGTGAGCCACTGGCAGAAAGCTGGGCAATTCATGGTCCCTACTGATCAGTAGGATCTTTGAAGAAAGAAAAACAAAAGCATGATATAGCCACATTTCCAAATGTTCAAACATTAAAGATGGTGTATCACAATCCTAGTTCTTTGTTTAATGTCAGAAGTACTAGGTAAATTTATAGACATAGTTCTGAAGATAAATCTTTTATGTATTTAGCTTCCTCTTCTGCCCCTACTTTCTATCTGGAAATGTCAAAGCCTGGGAATGATTACATCATTTTAATTCATAGTTGCAATGCTGGATTGGTATACCCCAAAAAGCCCAGTCAGCCCTTTAGACTTTAATAAAACATTGACTGGGTGGAATTTTACTTTGTTCTGTTCTCAGAAGCTGTGTCTGAAGTTTTGCCTAACAGATATAATGTTTCCTTTTTCAATACACAATCTATGATATTCATGCTATTGTACAAGAGCTCTGAAGCACAAAGATCACAGGTGTATCTATGAAATACGGGGAATCAGGATTTATAAGAAAACTTTCCTACCTGGCAGGGTCATAATTTAGCTCCTGAATTACTGTCACTGCTTTCATATCACAAAAGGCCTTCAGCAGCCTGAGGTCTGCCTGCTTACAGAAGCAGAAGCCGGTGTCTGTGGCAGGCTGACTAAATGTGCCAGAGGGGATGTACTGTAATTATCTATGTTCTCCATACCTATTCGATTTTAATTGAAAGGCCAAGGCTGTATTAAAATTGTCATTGTCAAAGTGATCTTTTCTATTCTTATTATTTTTAGATTTCTGTATGACAAGTGGGTGGACTAATCATACAGTATGAACTGGAAGTAAATTTAAGCCATCACATATGTAGAAGGACTGTAATTATCTCTCTCAAAGGCATAATATTTGGGTAATCAGTAGATGAATTTAGACTATTTAAGTTCATCCTTGGGCACATCAGTGGTGTTCATGGCATCTCAATGTAAATGCTGTCCAGTTACAATATTTGCATGCATAACCCACTTCGCCTTAAATCTGCCTGACTCAAGAAGTATTGTACTTTGGTGACAAGTACCTTGATAACCATGTCCCCAGGTAACCGTGCCGGAGCAGGGAGAGCACAGCGAGGCACTGCTCTCTGGCGTGCCAAAGGAAGTGCTCTGCTGAGAAAAGCCCTTGCACTGCACCTGTTATTGCAACTTCTTTTTGCCAGAAGTTATTTGTGGCTCATTCCTTTTTTTCTGAATGTGCAAACACAGTAATGCCGACCAAATCTGCTGAGGAATGTCGTCAAAAAAAACCAACAACAAAACAAACAAAAACTATGACAAATTCTCATATCTGATAAGCACATCAGAGAGAAGCAGTGCTCTGTTATCATTTACCACTTGAGAAGGAAAGAGTTAGATTCAAGATAAAATATTAATTAGTAAGGGATGAAGCAGTAGGGTCATGTAATTTTCAGGTGCTTATGAGGGTAAGCCAGGCTCATCTCACTCACATGAAACCATCTTGCTCAGCAGTAGTAAGGTGTCTCCTGAATAGCCAAAGTCCTCAGGTAATTAATTAAAGCGAGGCTTTTATCTTTAGCTTTTCCTGCAAAAGTTGTTCTAAATTTTCTTTTAGAACCTGTTTTTCTTGATTCTTTTCTCTCCAGGCCTGTGGCTGAGAGGCCTGTGGCAGTCACCCCATACAGGAGATAAATCACAGTACTGGGAGGGGTGCAAAGGCCTGGAAACAGCTGCCTTGTGCCAGTGTGCTAGGCGTGCAAGAAATAAAGTGGGGACTTCATCAGCTTGAGACGAATTACACTGAAAAGCCAGATACTGTAGGAATCACAGCTTCATCTAGAGCAGATAAAACCTTCAGTTGCTGCTGGCTTACTAATTTCAAACCCTGAGAGTGGCTTTGTGACCTAGGCTGCCTGGGATTTGGAACTGTAATAACAAACTCCAGCCGACCCTAATACCAAGGCTTTCTTTCTTCCCAGATTCAGACAGCTTATCTGCCCTCATGCTAAGCATATCCTTAAAGGGAGACCATGACAAAAATATATACAGCTTGCATTTATCCTCAGAAAATAATCAGTAAATGTATTGCCACTAACTAATGATTTGCGCACATGTAAATTTCTCTTTATAAGCCCATTTTAAACAAATGTGAGTAAACCTTTTTTCTA